AAACTCTTCTTTTTCTTTTTTTTTTTTTTTTTTTTTTGAGGTTTTTGCTACAGGGCGCTCGCCAGAAAGACAGAGAGACAGAAAGCAAGAAATCACCCCCCAGGGGTGATGGCCACGCCGCAATCTCTTCTCCTCTGTTCTCCTCTTGGGATCTTGGGCACGCACGCACACGCACCCGGTATGAGTTTCAAGCCACCAGGTCCGGGACACAAACCACGGTCAACTACATGGGAGTCCAGCGACATAGCCATTACGCTAACTACTGGTCCCGGCCAAACTCTTCTTCAGCTGTGCTTTGACATGAAAACAGACTATTCAAGTTCGATGGAGTGGCGAGCACTGCCATCACATTAAAAAACTTCATGCCACTGAGATTCAGCCAGATCACACTGAGTTGCAGGATGAGAAGGTGGGGAGTATGGCCTGGGTGGTGGGGACCCTCTCCTAGAGCCCCCCAGGGTCTGGCCTGCAATGCCACAGTTAGTGAGGCCTGCACAGACGAACCCAGTCTGCAGTCAGCTCTGCTCTTTTAGACGGCCAAGCGCAGCTAGGTACCTGGACTACAGGAGCGACAGGGCAGTTAAGGGGACTGCTTACAGCCATGGACGGGCTTAAAGGGATAGAAAGGCTAGAATCTGACTGTTTATTCATTTTCTTTATTCAGTTACTCACTTATTTTATTCTGTCTCAACTTGGTATTGAATGCCCGCTATGTGGCAATTACGGTGTGGAGGTGGAGTCAGCAGGGAACAAGGAGAGATACGAGCCAGTTCTTATGGCGGGCACTGAGGGGGGCTGCATTACTAAAGCATCGTCTTCAGAAATAAGAAGTCTGTGATGCTCAAAGCTGGTCTTTATCGGCTCACCCAAACCAGAAATGGCTTAAGGAATGAGAGAGAAGGGATAGAATACAGATGAACTTTCCACGTTTCTCCCCGTGACTGTTATGGTGACTGATGGTGACTAACACTAGAGAGTGGCCAGGGCTGTCACCCATTAACTCATTATGGAAGCACAGTATGAGGCACGCCATAGGGGAGTTCACAAAGATCCAAAAGCATCCAGAAGGGGCTGGTAGACTTTTGTAGGTCATATTAGTGTTTTTTGTTATCAGAGGGCATGTATGCTCACCAGAGAGAGGTGGGGAGAGACAGAGACAGAGACAGAAAAAGGGGGTGATCATATTGCAATCTTTCTCCTCCATTTCTTCATCCTCTCAGCATTTTAGGCACATGTGCACATTTACCTGGCATGTTTTTCAAGCCTCTGGGGTGGAACTCAAACCATGGTTGGCCATGTGGGTTCCAGTTCACAATGCACAGTGCTGAACCTCTGCAACAGGGCTGGCCAGGGCTGGATTTTTGTTTTCTTTTGTTGCAGTTTTTAAAGACTAAGGAAACTCTTCTGGCTGGTGTTGACAGTGCAAATATAGACCCTCTTTAAGGCAGGGACCTGGTCAGGTATATTTTTAATTCTGAGAGTCTAGGATGTAGTGTCTAGGCCACTTTTCAACACAGATGACCACACCACCTCCTGCCTACCTTCCTCTAACTTGACTTGTTTGCCTGTTTAAAACATCAGGATTGAAAGGCCCATCCCATACCTCATCATGGTGAAGAATTCATCCTTGGAGAGGAAGCCATTCGCATCCAGGTCATACATGGTGAACATCAGGCGGGACTTGTCCTCTGGGGAGCCTGGAAGGAGAAGGGTGATACAAATCACCTCCATCCTGTAAGGCACCTGGCTCTTTGGGTGGTCCTCTGCCCCTTAGCCCTTACCTTTCATGAAGACCACCAGGATGTCCAGGAATTCCCGGAAGGACAGGTAGCCATTGCCATCCTTGTCGGCCAGAGAGAACATGGACTCCACAAACATGTCCTGGGGCTTGAGGCCCAGGGACTCAGCAAACTCAGCCCTGCTCAGCTCACAGGTCAGGGCCTCCCGCACTTTCTGTGACGAGTCCAGGGGCAGGCTGCCTGCATCTGCCTGGTTGATGTCCAGCACCTGCACCCAGGAAGCAGCGGAGGGAGGGACAGAAGGTGAAACCTGGGCTGGAAGCAATTCAGTGACATCTCCGCAAAGTCTGAATCAGAAAGGGCGAGCCCTGGTGGCCGCTCCTGATCCTTAGCTATACTGACTTGGGTGTCTGCTCTTCTATCATGGGTGAACAGAAACCCTGGCAGCCTGTGCATTTTTCCCTGGACCCAAGAACCAGGCACTTTATACAGCAGGGATGGTTCAAGTGCACCTTGTCTAAAAGTCACATGTAGGTACCAGCAATTGGCGTAATGGCTGTGTCGCTGGACTCACATGTAGTTGCCTGCAGTTCGAGTCCTGGACCCGGTGGCTTAAACTCACACCAGGCACATGTGTGTGCATGTCCAAGAAGAGAATGGAGGAGAAGGGATTGCGGTGTGGCCATCCCCCCCTCCCCCGGGGGGGGGTGATTTCTTGTTTTCTGTCTCTCTGCCTCTCTCTGTCTTTCTGGTGAGCACACGTGCCCTATAGCAAAAACCTCTCAAAAAAAAAAAAAAGAAAGTCACATGTAATTATTTGTTAAATGCCTACAGCATTGAGCGCCAGCAGATGAAGTAGCAGTTACGTTGCTGGACTCTCACATGGTTGACTGTAGTTTGAGTCCTGGTGACTTAAAGGTCACACCGGGCACCCGGGAAGAGAATGGAGGAGAAGGGATTGCGTTGTGGCTATCCACCCTGGCGGGTGATTTCTCACTTTTCCTCTCACTGTCTCTGTCTCTCTCTCCCCAGTGAGCAAACATGCTCTAAGGCAAAAACTTCTTTTAAAAACTGCCTATAATGTACCAAGGACTTAGGATAAGTACTGTACATAAAATGGCATTTTTAAAAACATTACAGTGTATCAGATTACCTAGAGGGTTTGTTAAAACACAGATTTCTGGGCCCCACCTCAGAGTTCCAGACTCTGTCTGGGGAGGGGCCTGAGAATGCATTTCTAGCAAGTTCCCAGGAGCACTCAGTTGGCTCAGGGGCCACCCTTTGAGAACCGCTCATGTAGACTCTCTCTCGCTGAACCCTCACCGCAATGGGATGGATACGACCTCAGTTACTGTTTTACAGATGAGGAAACGAAGATACAGAGTGGACATGACAGGACTTGGCTAAGGTCACGCAGCTAGTACATGGCAAAGCCAGGGTTCAACCAGGCTTTTCTCCAGTCCAGAGTGAGAGCTAAGTTCACCCATGTGGAGGGTTTCTATTCAGCCTAGATTCTCTCTGTCCCCTGGGTCAGTGCCTCTCCAAAGGCACAAATCATGTCACCTGTGCAAAAAGGTGTCTGAAGAAGATCTCCAGAATGCGTCCCCGCTGCTGCTTGGTCACGGCCTTCTTGAATAGCTCCTTCTCGCCCGTCTCGGCCACATGCAGGTCCAGCGTGCAGTGCACACAGAAGTCCTGCAGCTGCTGCACAAAGGCGGCCCGCTCCTCTTCTGAGTTAAACAGCAGCACCTGTGTGAGAGGGAGGCCATGCCAGGGCTGGGAGTTCGAGCTTCTGGTCCAGCCTCCCCTCAAGGGACGTAGGATTGAGAAAAGGAGAGAAAAGCTCCTCCCCATCCTCCCAGGCTGTGGCCAGGTGGAGTCTGGGGACCTCTGAAAGGAGGTCAGCATCAGCCTTCACAGGAAGGCTGGGCAGCTGAGGACAGCATGGGCTGAGGACTCGTTTGTGAGAGGAGACACGTGAGAGGGCAGCCAGATGGGGGAGGCTGGCCGAGCAGTACCAGGTCATACTCCTTGGGGATCTTGAGCAGCAGGGTGCGGCGCCCACGGTCGCTGGACAGGAGGAGGTTGACCTGCTGCGGGGGCCGCAGCTGGACGGTGCGGAGCACAGCGAGGCGCCTGTCCAGGACCTGTAGGCGCCTGTCCGGGAGCAGCTGGACGGTGATGGGGTAGCTCCTCTCGCTGGGGCCTGGCCACTCCATGGCTGGGGAAGGGACCATTAGGCAGTGGGTCCGCGCACCATAGGGCGGTGGTTCAGCGGGGGGCCCACCACCAAGCCAATTCCATTCTGTGAGTCTGAGCAAGCACCCCAAAGCCTGACTGTCCCTGCTCTTCCTCTTCCTCCCGCCTCCCGCCTCCCCTCCTCTCTGCGTGTCTCACCCAGCACTCCATCTTTGGCTGTTTTCTTCTTCACACTCTCTTTGTCTTTCTTCTGTAGTTTCTTGCGTTCTCGGGTCCGGAAATGAGCCACCACCCCAGAGATGAACAGACTCACTGAAGGGGGAAAGGAGCCGTGGAAGGGAAGCTGCCCCTTGCCCGCAGCTTCACTGCTCCCCCTTCCCAAGGCCCCTTGAACCTGACCTCAAACTGTACCAAGGAGCCAGCCTGCAGGTCAGCAGGAAATGAGGGGCAGAGCCAGTCTGTGGAGAGCAGGAACCCGGAAGGAAAAAGAAGGAGAGGGGTGAAGAGCTCACCTAACGGAAGGCAGCAGAGAGCCACAATGGTGAGGCCGAAACCAGGACCACTGCCCTCAAAGTAGTCAAGCACAGTTAGAGGTGCACAGGGCGGCAAGCCTTCCGTTGTGAGCTGCCGGGGCTGAGGGCAGGGTGCGCCTGAGGGAGTGAGCACAGAAGACCTTCAGTCTGAGGATCCTCCTTCTTGGCCAGGGCTCTTTCCCCTCTGTCCTATAAAGGACCAAGATTTCCTCTGCCTTCCCCAGACTCTCCTCCCTGGAACTTGTTCCCTCAAAAAGTCCCCTTCCATAGCCTGACTTTCAGCACCCATTCCAGACTGAATGCAGGGTGCAGCCTGAACGCCAATGCAGCTCACCGCAGGCTCCCAGCCCGACACAGAAGGTGCCCGGCTCCCTAGACAGCTGCCAATGACCCCCTCACACACACCTTGGTCCTTCTTTGGTAACTTGAGTTCTCCCAGGCCACTCACCTTCATGCCAGACAAAGACATTGGGTTGCAGGGCACTGGGGTCCACGTTGGTGACAGCTGCCACAACATCCCGCAAGGTAGTATTTCTGATTTCTGCAATCTCTTCCGGGGAGAACAGTCTGAGTTGGGGAAAGGCAGGAGTTATTGAGATGGGAAGGGGATGCAGGCTTCTGGCAACCCCAGGCCCAGATGAAAAAAGGGACTCAGAGGGGTTACAAAGAGAGTGGTCACCTAGCTGGGAGTCAAGGCCCATGGAGGCCACCCAAGGCTAGGCAGAGGGGTCTGAGGTCCAAGTTGAGGTGGTATCTGGAGGGGGTGGGGTGGCAGAAAGCCTTACCCATTCCTGGTGTTCTCAAACCAGTAGCGGTCACCATCCCGCAGCCGCACAAACTGCTCAAGGACGATGGTGCTGAACAGGGGTCCGGGGTCCCCGTGGCTCTCCAGGAGCCCCCCTGGGAGTAGCTCCAGTCGAGACAGGTCCTGGTTGTACAGGGCGGCTGTGGCCTGCAGCACCTGGGACACCACAGGAGATAAGGAGTGTGATGTGTGTGCGTGCTGGGGAGGACAGCCACCATTGCGCCATCGCTCAGACGTAGGGCCCAGCAGCTGCTCTGCCAGCTGCTCAGGTCTAGCAGAGTCTCCTCTTCCTAGGCTGTCCCCCTACAGGGCAAGCCTGGTGGAAGGACTAGTGTGTCCCTACCTATGGTGAGACCACTGTTAGGTGCCTGAGTGAACATCACTACCCAGACTACCCAGCCTTAATGATTGGCAGCTGCAGGGGCAATCCCATGGGGTGGGACCCAGAAGGAACATAGTAGCACCCAATCCAGGACCCATCCTGCAAGAATGGTATGACATAGTAGTTAAGAACACAGACTAGAAGGGCCAGCAGTTAGCGTAATGGCTGTGTTGCTGGACTCCCACATAGTTGACCGAGGTTCAAGTCCCGGATCCAGCAGCTTAAACTCACGCCAGGCGCATGTGCGTGCATGCCCAAGATCCCAAGAGGAGAATGGAGGAGAAGGGATTGCGGCGTGGCCATCCCCCCTGGGGGGTGATTTCTCGCTTTCTCTCTCTCTGTCTCTCTTTGTCTGGCGAGCGCATGTGCCCTATAGCAAAAACTTCTCAAAAACAAACAAACGAAAAAAAAAAACAAAAAAACCAAGAACACACACTAGAATCAGATGGCTAAAATCCTGCCTCTGTGATTTACCAAGTCAAGTGACAAGTAAGATGACAGGGATAGTACCTACTTTATAACACATGTAGATTGAATGAGTACACATATGTCAAAAAAAAAAAAAAAGGATTTGGAACAGTATGTCACAGAAAAGCTTCAACTGCTATTATTATCACTACCATTCCTGACCTGGGGGTCCACACTGGGGTTGAGGTTACTCCAGTTCTTTGGGATCTCTAGCCCCAAGGCTAGCAGGGCCTGGGTGTAGCTGGGCAGCCCCATATCTCGGCCACGTTGAATGCTGCTGGCCACATAGTCTGTGCGGGAGAACTTGCCAGGGCCAGGCCAGTAATCTGAGGAGAGAAGACCAGACTGCAGATCAATCCTCCAGAACTTCTCTGCCCTGCAGTCTTACAGCAGCCGGCAGCACTCACCTCCCCTGCCTTCAGCCCCCAGCGCTCTACCTAAGACCCATGCCTGTATTGACCTTGTCTTAGGGTGGGGCCAATGTCACCAGGTATGACCAAGGCAAGGTTTTCTGGTAAGACCCTTCCTCTAAGACTCAAGACTGTTCTAGTCACCAAGCAGTAACTTCCCTGTCCTATTCCTCCCCCTAACTTCAAGACAGGGCTGGATGAAAACCTTTATGGATCTAATTAAGCAGCACAGAGATGGTGATGCCACCCCAGCCCTCATATACAGATATAATTTTAAATAAAGCAACAATAAAACCGTAAATTGGGGCCAGCAGGTGGCATGGTGGTTAAAGGCGCTGGACTTCCACACGGCCAACTGTGGTTTGAACCCTGGACCCAGTGGCTTGCTTTCTTGATTTCCCTCTCTCTGTGCTCAAATTAAAAAATATAGCAAAAACCTCTCAAAAAAAAAAAAAAAAAAAAAAAAAAAAAAAAGAAACAGAAAGAAAGAAAGGGGCCAGCAGGTGGTATGGTGGTTAAGCTACTGGATTCCTACATTGCCCGCCACAATTTGAGTCCCAAACCTGATGACTTGCTTACTCACTTTCCCTCTTTCTCTCTCTGGTCAAATTAAAAAATAATAATAATTAATTAATTAAATTAAATAAATCATTTTATTTTTAAAAAATTAAGGGGATAAAGCACACCCACAATGTCAAAGTTCATTTCACTCTAATGCCTATATGAAGTCTGCATGCATATCATGGGAACCCTATGTCTGCCTGTTGATTAATCCAGGGACCCCCAGGCTCCTCAGCCTCTGAGCTCACCCCTCAGGTCTTCAACCACTATCCTGTCCTCCAGCTCCGAAATCTGGGAGGCCATTCCCAGTAGCAGCTGATTCACGGCCTCAGCACTGTTCAGGTTGGGGTTCTGGAAGTAATCAGCATGTTCAAGTTAGGCCCTAGGGCTCCTCCTCAAGCTTAAACACTAACACTATCACCACAGCAGCACCCAGGACAAAGGGCCATGGGCCATTCTTGAGCCCTTGTCCCCAGATAATTTTCTCTACCCTTTGTCTCCCACCAACCTGGAGCAGCAGCATGAAAGAATTGGGATTATTTTTCCCAGCCTGAGTGAAGACTGCCTTGACCTCCCTCCTCTGTCTGATGCCAGACTGACCTCCCGAATCCAGTAGCTGTTGCAGACTCTCATTGCTGGGGAGCTGCCCGAAGCCCTGTTCAGGACCTTCTGGAAATGACAGCTGACATTTCTGAAATGGGGAATCAGGGATGTGGTGAAGGAACTCAGAGAAGGTGAAATGGGGTTGATTGGGTGAGGGACGTGGTGGGAATTGGCCAGGACTGAGGGACAGTCCCTGGACTTCCTTGGGGCCAGCAGAGATTTGGCTATGTGCATTTCCTGGAGATAGAGTGAACTCTGTTCAGACTCGGCGGGGACAGGAGGAAATGGTGACCTGCGATCAGCAGCCAAAGGTCAGCTGTTAGGAAAGCTGAGGAGATACCCTCGCTAAGACTGAACCTGTGGTCCTAGAGTTCTATTTCAGGGTCGCAAATTCTGCTTCCCTTTTCTATTGAGACTGTAGAGGTGTGTGAAAGGTTCCAGTCCCAAGACCACTCATTCCACGCTGCCAGGCCCCCCTCACCTCATGTAGACACCAGGGGGCACCATGGTGGAGAAAAACTGCTCAGAGGCCACCACAAACTCAGGAGAGATGCTGGGGTCCAGAAAATGGCGATACCCTGCAGGAGGGGGTAATAAAGGAGACAGGGTGCTTAACCTCCCCCCCATCCCCCCACCCCGCCTTGCCATCACACACACGTGTTATTTTCCCACAGATCTTCAGTTCAGATGGTCCCACAACTTCCTCACCTGCATACTCCGGGGGTGTCACTTGCAGGAAGCTGGGCAGCCACTCATACAGAGCGATGTTCTGAGGGTCAGAGACAGGGGACAGGGTGTTGGATCAGGCCAGGCTGCAGGGATCTCCGTGCAGCGAGGGTTCAGGTGTGGAAGACGACCAGACAGGGTGGTCACGTGAGAAGCAACCCACACAGGAGCACCGCCAGGCCTGCCACCCCCCAGGAAACAGGGGATCTGCTGGAGCAGGGGGTGGACATGAGCGTCACAAGCGAAACCATCTCCTGGACGGCCTCATTTTCCTGTCCCACGTCCGGGTCTTTTCCTAGACATCAGCTCTCTGGGAAGGGGTGTCTCGCACAGGGGTGTTTCTGAAGCAGGGCGATCTGAGCATGGGAAGCCCTGCGGGGGGCCCTGCGGGACCTGCAGGAGAAAGGGGTGGCGGGCGCGGGGGCGGGGGGGG